GAATTAATCGAAAACGTTCGTTCGCCTATCTTGACTCCTTGAATGCTTAAATAAGTATCATCGCTGAACATCTGGAATCGTCTGTAGGATCTGGCACAGTTGCGGACAAAGCAGCCACGTCGGAGAAACTGAAAGACTGATCACACATGGGCTTCCAAACGCGCGGTAGCAGTGTGGAGAAATGACGCCAATTCTCAGGTCGCGGCTAATTTGACGAGACCCGGCCAACTTTCAAATTAGATGAAGTCAAAATTCTCGTGATAGGCAACAACTGCATGAGCCGCGAGTTGTTTGAGTCACGGTTCAGTCCACTAACAAGTGCAATCTCTTCGTGTTTGATGCCGAGACTCAGTTTAGCCAAAATAATTAGCTACTCTAGGGGCGCGCAGGCCGCTGAGCCAAGTGGCCTACCAGGAATCAGGCCAACATCCAACAAGCATGTCGTTATTTCAGCAAATATCGCCTTTTGGGGGCTAATAAGCCAAAAAAGAGACTATGCAACGATGCTATTGAACACGGTTACAATGTTTAACTGCTGGTAACGAAAGTTTCAAATACATGATCATTTAAATATTGCCTACGAAAAATGTTCTTAAAAAAGCCGATGTGCTACCGTATTTAAATTGGCTTAGGACAATTTTCCACAATTATAAGCATTGAAAAAGCCTTTGAACACTCCTTATTGAAGAACGACCTCAGCTATTTCAATAGCTGTAGACTGAAGTAAGTAGGAGAAAAGCGCCCATTGTGCACGACTTACTGCCTGGGCCAATGTGGCTCTCCAATGTATCACCAGTTCGAGGAACCTTGTGTCGAATTTTACGAGCGTTTGTAGCGCGTTTTGTAGCAAGGGCCGCCTGGATGTCAGCGCATCGTCCAGAGCTGGGTGAGTTTAACGGACCCATGAGATCCGTGGGATCGTTTGGATTGGCCTCCATCAGGGTAATAGGCGGTCGTCTAGAATGGGAGGCCATTCATTTTAAGGTTAAGTTCTCTGAACGAGTGCCTTAGATTTTCCTTTAGTAGACCAGGAGGAAAACAAATTCGGGGGCTCTTTCAGTTTCCATAGCATTACCTTATTAATTGTTTCTCAGTAGTCATATGGATTCCGATTATTAATACCGTTACTTTTAATCACCTACTAAATATAAGAGTAAACATATTTCGCTGGACCAATTAGGTTTCCAGGACTAAGTATTTTGTCAGAGAAGCCCATTTTAGCGAACACTTTGAGGGAAATCTGAACGAATCGCAACTTGTTTGAAGGACAAGATTCAATAAAAATGGCCAGAGCCAAACAAGGGCTAAGGTAAATAATGAATACTGTGAAGTGGAGATCGCCGATCTAGTAATAGAACTTTCCGGTTTTTTCCCTAGAGCTCACATTAGAGTCCCCGCAGGCAGTCTCATAGCGACTAGAAGGGCAGGATGAAATAGATT